TTCCAGCGAGCCACTCCAATCATGCCCTGCGCCTGGAAAAGTTCTGTGGATACCTGAGTGCCTGTGACCCATCTCGCCTGATGGAAATGGAACCCCTCCTGCTGAGAGGTGCCTCTCACAGGGATCCACACGGGTACAGCTGCCGCCTCCCCCTTCACATGGTTCAGCTGGACCGTTCCACCATGCCTATAGAGGATCCCCTCTTCAATCTCTGGGTCACTGAGGCAGCCTCTGAGGATGTGGACTCGCTGAATCCTCCACACCTTCAACATCGATGGTTTGAACAGTGGCCCACCATCAGGATCGCATTCTAAAAAGAATCTTTGGAGAACGCTCTCCACTCTCTCCAGCAGCTCTTTGGGGTGTGGGACCCTAGTGCGACAGTGCTCCCTGATGTGCTTCTTTGTTGGATTTGCAGGCACTATTCCACAGAAGACATAAGCCTGCTTCAGTCTCTGTAGGTCCGTCTGGTCCACAACACTAAAAGCTGCTGACAGAAACTTGCAGAAAGCACTGTGCAGTGGATGGTGCTCTGAAGTACACTCTCTGGAGAATCGCCGCATGCAGTGGAATAAGTCCAGCTTGATGTTGATGTTGCTATTATATTCTTTGCGGGAGGCACAGGTGTTGATGAGATGCCCAGAGGTAGCCGCAGTCACTATAGCCTCAGTGGTCTTCCAAGAATCCCAGAGGAGGTGCTCCTGGGGATCAGGGTTTGGGATCCTGAAGGCAGCACAGCAATCTCTGTTCCACACACAAAGAGAAGTATATTTAAAATATTAAACATTCAAATAAATAGGATACATGTATTTGCTATACTATATTTTGTTTACTTTACAAATATAATATACTGTAGGTGGGAAGGAAAATGTGATGGCTGGTTCTTACCTGTCAACCCACTGGTAGTTGGCTTTTGGCAGTCCTGCAAAAATGTAACGACGGGACAGCCCCTCATACATTGGCTGCAGGGATTTATCACTTTCAGACTGCAGCATCACCCAGGACAAGATCATCCAGTTTTCATTCATCACAGCGTATGACGACATAGTACCGGATGCAAGCACAACCTTCCGGGCCACCTTGCGGGTATGGTCAGCCCTTAATACCTGTCCAAATGTGCCTTGAAGGAGCAGATTGAGTGTGCTCTCCTGCCTATGGTACTCCTGAATGAGGCAGTCAACCAAGTAGTGGGGTGAGACTGTTACTCCAAACCAGCCGTCCACATCACCATACCCACCAAATGGAGCAGGAGTATTTGTTGCTCTTAGTGCCCCTGTGATGGTCTGCTGACCATAAAGTCCACTGTCTCCATCCAGCACATTCTTAACAGTGGACAGGTAAGCCAGGTGTGCACGCTCATACCTGAGGTGGAGAGCTTCGTTCAACTGATTGGCCATATCATTGGGAGACTTTGCTGTGCGCCGCAACTCATCCATCACAGTCTTACATATGGCCTTCTTGTGCGTCAGAAAAGCTGGAAAAATGTTGCAGAATCGACTTGGCAGCATCTCTATCCATTGGGGTTTGTCTGCAAACCAGTACTTTTTACAGACTTTACAGCTGAGCCGAGAGGCCAGCATGTAGTACTGGCTGCTTGTACCAATAATGACACGGGGTCGTCCAACTCCTGATGAGACGACTTGAGGATTCGGACAGCCGTTCAGACATGGCAGAGTGTAGTTGTTGCGGACTCTTTCCATAATGGTGTGCTCTGGTTTCCAAATGAAGAATGGATGAAGTTGAAAGTATTTTGGTGATGGCAGCTTATAGACAGCATCAATAAGCTCAGGCTGAGGTGGGTAACGCCACAAGGAGATCATGTTCATTGGATGTCTCACCAGTCTAGAGCCTGGCCACAGTCCCAAGTTTTCCATTTCTGTTTTCATCCAGATTCTCTGCTGGTGAGAGCAGTTCCATTGGCTTACATCCTGCTCATAGCCTGGCAGTGGTGGAAGTGCTGGCTTCTCCTCCAACTGAGTTGAGGGGTACCCAGCAGAGGCTGCAGGGAGTGCTGTGGGCGGAGTAGAGGCTGCAAGGAGTCTCGACTGGACAGCAGCTGCAGGGGGGCCTGAGGGAGGAGTAGAGACTGTAGACTGTGCAGAGGTCACTGGGAGGAGGGCTGCAGGACAACATGGTTGACATTAGTCATAGATGAGCATTACATTTGTTAAATAGGTTAAATCTGTTTTAAATTGTATTAAGTAATATTATGTTACATTAAGTCCTTACACTGACAGAGCATGGTTTCCTGCACTGGTCTCAAAGGCGATGTGGACTTGCTTGTCGATAACCCCAATTCAAGCAACTCTGGAGGTACTGGCAAAAGAACCCTCACTGGAGTGAATGGAATTGGTGAAAAACAATAACACTGATCAGAAACAGGCATATCCTTACAGTAGAGTCGGCATGTGTACACGTCCATATACTAACCTGGATGTGGAGATGCAGTAGCACTATATTCATCAGGCCGGACTGGTTTTAGGAGTGTTGCTGGTGGTTTACGCCTCCCTAACACAGAAAAATGTAATGTCATTCTAAATACCCTGTAGTACTGTCCCTTAATAAATGTGTTATTACGTAGTAATGTAAATGCATGCAAACCCATAAAACACATGTCAAGACTCTTTATAATATTAAAGGTGTGGTATGTTAATGCATTACCATTACATGAGTACTACATTGCATGAGTACTCTACAGCTTCATGTATCAAAACGGATGCATCATTCTAGTCCAAATTAATACATATTTGTACTTTTGCTGTACTTCTGCATTTTGGTACATACCAAACCTTTAAAGTATAGCATGCAAAAAAACATGCAAAACAAGAACTCTGTACTTACCCTCAATGATGAGATATAAATGCCTTATAAATGTTAGTAGAACAATTGAACACAAGAATTAGAACAGGCCTGAACGTGGCCTAACCAACAAACAGCAACAAATCAATGTAGAACAGATAATCCTGATTCATGTCAGAATCATCCCTAGCATGCAGTAGACAAGACCTTTGACCACTGGGACTCCAACAACTTCTGAACCTGAAAGCATAGTAAAGATAATTTAACTTTCAAGCAATTACAACATAAACAGACACAATGACATATAAAACCCTTTACTGTTAAAGTACAGTACACACCAAACTACACAAAGATGTGAAAAATGTAAAACACTGCTACGTGTCTTTTGCTTGTTCAGTATACAGTGGTGTGTACAGGAGTCACACGTACATGTATGTGCACAAATACACTGTATATACAGTATATATGCACAATTGATCTGAATCTTGAATTGAGTTGAAACTGAATCAACACTGAAGTGACTTGAGCTGAATAATGTCGCAATTGGCTTGTTAGAGCTGCTTTACAGCATCATTTGTTTTGAATTTGTTACTATTGTGAAGCTGCTGCGAAAATCTATACTGTAGCTTGTATGTATATTCAGTATACAGTTTACACACATTGAATATGCATACAAGCCAAGTCAGAAAGTCAACTTTATTTCTAAAGCACTGTATGTGTGTGTGTGTGTGTGTGTGTGTGTGTGTTTGTGTGTGCATATATAAGTATTACATATGTATGTAAAAGTTTGTTTTTCAATTGCGTGTAATGCGTATAAGCGTATAATGTGCTTGCAGTTTTGCAGACTTGGTCTGAAGATTAGGTACATGACTGAATGGTTTTACTGAGTGGGCCTCAAGTTCCACCTTTAGTGTGTAATCAATTTGAAAAAACTGTAGTATAATAATTTACGGGCATTAGAACAGGCCTGATCACGCCTAATAAACAAACAGTGATTTGACAGTGTGTTGGATGGATAATCCTGATTGAAGTCAGAATCATCCCCAGTGTGCATTCAGAATAGGACCTTTGGCCATAGGGACTCCAACATCTCGTGAACCTGAGTGCACAGCGCAGAAACAATGTAACATCCCAAACATTTACCATCTTGAATAACGCTGAATAAAAATGTAATGATGTTTCATGGAAATGAATGCAGTTTGATAGAGCATGTATGTGCATGTATGTGGTTCTCACTCAGTTGGCCTGGAATTTTAGATGAAAGAGTGGGTAGCATCATCCTCCCCAATTCTTCACCTTCCTCCACTTCTATGGAAAAAGAACAAACCAAGGATTGGTATGAAAGGATGGAATTATAAATATCATCAACTGTTGTTTATTCAGGGAAAATTGACTGAGCATTAAGCTCTTTTACAGCAGTACCCCGACTCCACATTCATACGAGTGTACATTCAGAATATGATATCAAAAATATGTATATAGCAGTCACAATAAATACTGTGTGTGTGTGTGTGTGTGTGCGTGTGAGCACACATGCACCTACACTACCGGTCAAAAGTTTTGGAAACAGTTGTGTACATTTTTTTTCAGGATTCTTTGATGAATAGAAAGTTTAAAAGAACAGCTTTAATTTGAAATAGAAACTTTTGTGACATTATAAATGCCTTTACTGTAACTTTTGATCAATTTAATTCATCCTTCATGAATAAAAGTATTTATTTATTGTATTTCTTTCCCCCAAAAAATAACTAACAATTCTTACTGACCCCAAACTTTTGAACGGTAGTGTTTAATGTGACAAAAGCTTTCTATTTCAGATAAATACTGTTCTTTTGAACTTTCTATTCTTCAAAGAATCCTGAAATAAAAATGTAAATAACTATTTGTTCTACTGTAATACTGTAACAATAATACTATTGTTGACAATGATAATAATGAGAAATGTTTCTTGAGCATCAAATCATCAGAATCATGTGACACTGTAGACTGGAGTAATGATGCTGAAAAACCCAGCTTTGATCACAGGAATAAATTACACTCTACAATATATACACATAGAAAACTGCTATTTTGAATTCTAATAATATTTCACAATTTTGACTGTTTTTTTTAATCAAATAAATACAGCCTTGGTGAGTAGAACAGACTTAGTAGAACAAATCTTACTGATCCAAAAAATTGTCTGTGTGAGGTTTTCTTACTCAGTTGGGCTTGGAGTTTGGATGGGGATATAGAAAGCATCATTCTCTCCAATTCTTCATCATCCTCCATTTCTGTAAAACAAAGCATAAAAGCAAAGATGCGAATCATATGTCATCCCACATTTACATATATTTTAACATGACCTTATATGTACTGTCAACAAACCTGGAGGATGAGAGGCAGATGCTGTAAGGCCAGCGGAAGCAGGTTCCGCTGAAACACTCTGAAGCTGGCTCTTTTTCTGAGTGAGGTACAGCTGCAGCCGATACATTTTGCTGCCTGGGACACACTGTTTCTGGAGGATGAATGCAGCATATCCATCTGCTCTGCTCTCCCAAACATCCCTCCAAGTCTTTTCTGCATTAATTCCAAAGCCAACCAAGTTGTCATCTTCATTCTTCACAGGTGGTGCCACTGATCTTCCAGTTAAATACTTTAGGAGGTCCTCGATTTCCTGGAAGCTATTACTGTACTCAAGAAATGAAAGTAGGCTGTCCTTCTTGGGACCCTCTGGTTTAAACTGTCCGGCTCTCTCCTCCTCCTCAACCTTCTTAGTCAAGAATATGGTATAGCCTACATCATTCTCTAGTAGCCACCGGAATGACTTGCCTTTGTACTTTCCAAACTGAAGCACATACTCTCCCAGCACCTCTTTTCTGTCTGACACATCTCCTCCTCTCATGAAGACAACAGAGCGGGCATTCTCCTTTACCTTGTCTTCCCTTTGAGGGTCTGATTTGTCCTGGAGATTGGGGTTGTCTTTGATCCTCTTGGCTTCATCTGAGGGATCTTGTCTCAGATATCCAGTCGGTCCTTTCCTGAAGCACACTTTGATCTTGCCTGGGAAGATCACTTTCACCTTCATCCTGCTGTGCTGTACATATACATTCACAAAGAGCTGATTAGTGTTTATGGTCTGTTGCATTAACACACTTAATTAATTAACACACTTCTATTCTGATTTAAATTATCTTATTTCTTAATAAATAAAACAACAATTCAATGAACCATTTTATTATGAAATACAAATTCATATTAATTGCACAATATCCTCTTTGACACTATTATTGTGTTTATTGATCTATTTTATCATAATAAAATGTTATTCATATAATATATCATTAAATTGCACATTTTTTTTTGTAATTTAAATGTAATATATTTGTGTGTACTATATATTACATTAAAAGTACTACATCACACTGCACTGTTATCATATATATTTTAAACATTTTATTTGAGTCCATAGTAAGAAATCAATGATGAAACATTCACCTTTACAAACAAAGATACTCTTATAAAATAACAGCTGTATTTAACGTTACAACGAGGAGTTTGGTTTACTGGGTTTCTTAACGTCACAAACAATTCAACACAATTAACAATACGATAACATGATAATATACATGCAATTTAAACGATAAAATATATGAATAATAATGTATATGCGGTCACCTGAGGTAAAATCCGTCTGAAGGTAACGTTAGTGTAGAATGTAAATATTTGTTGTAAAAAAACAAAACAATTTGCTGACAATTCGGTAAAATCTGTCTGAAGGTAATTTAGACTGTAAATATTTGTTGAAAAAACCCAAAACAATTTGCTGACAATTCGGTAAACAAATATCTCCGATCGTAAAACGGGTCTCCCCTCCTCCACTGCGAATGATTGACAGATGACACTACGCTTCTTAAATTCCCCGCCACGGAAAAACGAAACAGCGCCATGAAGTCTAAGTGTGGCCAAAAGTATATTGCATCCGTAGTGTTAAGCACTACCATAGAGAATGAATGGGAAAAGTTAAGAGAAGTTAAGCTTAGCCATTTTCGGCTCCCGCGCAGTTGACCCGGGTTCGATTCCCGGCCAACGCATTGCCTTTTGCTCAAGCCGTCGTTAAAACAGTCGTCCGGGGCCCCTGGCCAACTCCTCATTTAACTCGTGGCTGGAGCAAAACTTTTGCATGGGTCTTTGGGCAGCAGTAAAGGCAGAGATGGGGGACTCGAGTCACATGACTTGACTCGAGTCAGACTCGAGTCGCAAATTTAAGGACTTGAGACTTGCTTGACTAAATTAAAAAAATGACTCGACTTGACTTTGACTTGAGATCCAATGACTTGAGACTTGACTTGACTTGAACTGTATGACTCGAGAATGACTTGATATAAATTTTTATATAAATCATCGCAACATCCATTGATAAACAAAATGAAAGCAACGGAACCATTGACGTCATCAGATTCTGCGCGATTGCGTGACGCTGCACAAGTCCAGAAATAGCCTACATCGCGGTGAGCGCGCTAAATACAAAAACATCTCCCTGCATCGTATCTTTTTGGATATAAACACTAGGAAATGACCATATTCATGCAAGAAGATTTTTTGTACGCATAATAACTGGCAAGGGATATCGGACGACCATCACAACCTCGAACAGTCGAACTTCATTCACCACGTCTAAAAGTAAGCTATGGCTTGTTTAACCTGTTTGTTATAATTAATTTGACTATCTTTAAATCTAGAGAGATTAATATTGGTCAAAACAGCATGCCTCTTTATACACAATTATGTTTTCAAATGTAGCTTAATGTTGTCAATATTCAAATGATAATTAATGACGGTATATGTTTTGTATAACATTTGCCACATTTCTTTTTAAATCATGCTTTAAAGCCAAAAATGTTGTTCTTTCCAATGACGAAAAACAATATAGAAAACATTTAGTTTTGTCGTTTATGTTTCTCTTAATGTTATCAGGGTTTGGTGGCAAAAAATGCCAGCAGAATTAATATGCACCTAAAATTCAAAATGTGGTGGAAAAATGGCCCTAGTATGGCCCTTGCCAACTCCTCCTTTAACTCGTGGCTGGAGCAAAACTTTTGCATGGGTCTTTGGGCAGCAGTAAAGGAATAGGTCTCCCCGTCGGGGAATCGAACCCCGGTCTTCCGCGTGACAGGCGGAGATACTGTCCACTATACTAACGAGGAGTTGCAGAGAGGTAGTCGCCCCCGATCAGCGCCCCCCCGACCAGGAACGGCCTCATGCGTCATTTTAGGTCATCGCTTCACAGAAGCCAGTTAAGTCAAACAAATCATCTAATACCATTTAAATATGAAGTGTCTGTGTAAAACGGGTTACGTTATTAAATTAGAGAGCTTGCTTTTTTAATAAAGAGCCTGGTAGGTCCGGTCAAAAAGTTCATGCGTTTTTTTCCAGTGCCGGGCCCAAACAAAGAGAGTTTAGGTTCCTGCCAGCTGCTAATGTGTTGCCAGCATTCTTGCTGACCGCACAAGGCGGCATCCAGTCTTTACCCAACCGCCTGCGTTGGTGGTATAGTGGTGAGCATAGCTGCCTTCCAAGCAGTTGACCCGGGTTCGATTCCCGGCCAACGCATTGCCTTTTGCTCAAGCTGTCGTTAAAACAGTCGTCTGGGGCCCCTGGCCAACTCCTCATTTAACTCGTGGCTGGAGCAAAACTTTTGCATGGGTCTTTGGGCAGCAGTAAAGGACTAGGTCTCCCCGTCGGGGAATCGAACCCCGGTCTTCCGCGTGACAGGCGGAGATACGGTCCACTATACTAACGAGGAGTTGCAGAGATAGGTAGTCGCCCCCGATCAGCGCCCCCCCGACCAGGAAAGGCCTCATGCGTCATTTTAGGTCATCGCTTCACAGAAGCCAGTTAAGCCAAACAAATCATCTAATACCATTTAAATATGAAGTGTCTGTGTAAAACGGGTTAAGTTATTAAATTAGAGAGCTTGCTTTTTTAATAAAGAGCCTGGTAGGTCAGGTCAAAAAGTTAATGCGTTTTTTTCCAGTGCCGGGCCCAAACAAAGAGAGTTTCGGGTCCTGCCAGCTGCTAATGTGTTGCGAGCATTCTTGCTGACCGCACAAGGTGGCATCCAGTCTATGCCCTACCATCTGCGTTGGTGGTATAGTGGTAAGCATAGCTGCTTTCCAAGCAGTTGACCCGGGTTCGATTCCTGGGTTCGATTCTCGGGCCTTTTGCTCAAGCTGTCGTTAAAACAGTCGTCCGGGGCCCCTGGCCAACTCCTCATTTAACTCGTGGCTGGAGCAAAACTTTTGCATGGGTCTTTGGGCAGCAGTAAAGGACTAGGTCTCCCCGTCGGGGAATCGAACCCCGGTCTTCCGCGTGACAGGCAGAGATACTGTCCACTATACTAACGAGGAGTTGCAGAGACAGGTAGTCGCCCCCGATCAGCGCCCCCCGACCAGGAACGGCCTCATGCGTCATTTTAGGTCATCGCTTCACAGAAGCCAGTGAAGCCAAACAAATCATCTAATACCATTTAAATATGAAGTGTCTGTGTAAAACGGGTTACGTTATTAAATTAGAGAGCTTGCTTTTTTAATAAAGAGCCTGGTAGGTCCGGTCAAAAAGTTCATGCGTTTTTTTCCAGTGCCGGGCCCAAACAAAGAGAGTTTCGGTTCCTGCCAGCTGCTAATGTGTTGCCAGCATTCTTGCTGACCGCACAAGGCGGCATCCAGTCTATGCCCAACCGCCTGCTAGAGTTCTCAACGGGTCGGGTCGGCCCGACGGGACCCGCGGGTTCGGGCCGGGTTCGGGTCGAAAATATTTGCAAATGACTCGGGTCGGACCTCGGGCTTAATCTTTTGAATTGTACAATAAAAGAAAAAAAAACATTTATTATTCATCGCTGCTGTTCACTGTAAAGAAAGTCTGGCTGCTGCGTGCAACGTGCATCGCGACGCGAGGGCAGACCTGACGCCGCTGCGTGCACGCCTTTAGCCCGGAGAAGAAGATGGAGTTGGTGAAAAATAAACTTGCTGCAGGTGAAATCACCGTTGCTCAGGGGCGGCGCGACACGTTGTGTGATTATCTCGGCAGTTTAGGACATCGCACAAGATTTGCGTCAATACAGAAAACATTTAATCACTGGATAGTTTTTTTCGTTTATTGAAATGTGGTTTATGTCAGCTGGATGGGCGGAATGTGTGAGACGTTAGAGTGCGCGCGCGCGCGCGGCCGGGGCTCTCTCTCTCTCTGCGTCAAGCGCAGCAGTCATTCTACATACATCACTCACCG